TCTCGCTTTTTTTGACACCGACGTACTCCTCTACATCAACCCTTCCACTTTTCTACCTAAAAAGGGTGCCTCGAAATTTACGTGAAATGTGCCTCTAATGTCAATGTTAACAGTTACAGTAAAATGCTAAGACGCAGCAAGCAGCCTCCTCTAACCGTTCAAGTCACGGAAGCCCTTGCTAATTGAGCCAAGTAGATGGCTTTCCCCGAAGTGTTCATTATTGCTGGTAATGCAATAATATCATTTGGCTAATACAGCTCTCCTCTGGAAAACGACACCCTAAACACCGCTGCACTACTGCCCTTCTGTTCTATTTTGGTAAATGAAATCACAATACCCTGAGCAGTAAAGGAAACGAGGCCCTTTGCCTTTCTAATTAGTAAACATTATTTATTGCAACAGAATGACGCGATAGAATATTGCATCATTCTTGCGGCCCTCTGAAAGTATGTCTAGCTGCTAGTACATCAGTGCTCGTCTGGGACTTTGGTAATTTGCAATTTCCAACAGCAACTGCCGTAACCTTACGCTTACTTCTACTTGATTCAGTAGCATGACTGAAGTGTCTCATTCTCGTATGTAATTCTCGTAAGCACCATTTTGTATTAACACTTTTGATTCCCGAGTACGATAATCCATGGCATAACTTCCTTCATCATCGATCACCTGACCAAAATTCTATTATAAGTTTTTTTCTCATTCTACATTTTCACCTTTTCCTAGCTGCTCGTCAATAAAATGAGACTTTACCTGCAATGTTCTTCCTTTTGTGATGGCAACCACATCAGTTTCTCGAGTAGGTTGTCACAAGATTGCAGGGCATTTCTATTGATGTCTCTGCCCCTACGGGGGGCGCGCGATTCACGCGTGACCCCATTAGAGCTCTTCGCGCACGCAGCATTGTTTCAGTACCTTTCTGTTGAGGTGGACCAAATAAATTTGAAGTAGTCCACGGCTTCACCATGAATTAGAGAAATATCTTCACTATGGCCATGAAGCCCCTTCGAGATTAGGACTTCACACCATAGTTCGTCAATTTGCTTGTCAAACGTTCAAAATAAGAATAACTTCAAATTTTTTGATCCTAGAAAACGCAGTCCTTCTGTGAACGTGCACAGTTGGTTATTTCTTTACTTATTCTACTTATAAGTTCTTATTTCTTTCGTTATGATGGTAGGTATGATGTTTTAGCGTGTTTATTCGTGGCGCCTTCTCCATTGCTTGCCTAGTGATGTTCTTGCATCTTCTTACTGCTCTCCAGACTGTAGTTTTCGACACAGAGAGGTTTAATTCCGACCGAATCTGGTTCAAGGAGGACTACTGTTGGGAACGGCCCTCAGAATCTTCCGCTTGTCACGGGTAGTAACCTTGCGTGGGCGTCCACAGCTGGTGTTACGTCTAGGGATATCAGGGTTTTCGAGAAATCTTTGGATGNACGACCACGAGCCATGTTGACAGTCAGGGTTAGAGATGCATTTGCTACACATGCTTACCTTTATAATTATTTTAAATGACTTCCTCTCCTCCATGAATAGTTGTTCACGTACCCAGGGTGACCTTATAATTATGAAACGGTGCAAAAACCGATGAACTGTTCTAAAAAGGTTTAGAAAAATGCAGCTGCTACTAAAAAACGGATACCTAGGTTATTCGGAGTGGGGGATCCGTTCATGATGCTAGAAAAAATCCTGAATGATTGCTTCTTCTACGAAATACGAAGTACGAAATTTGAGGGTGACCTTATAATTATGAAACGCACTGTAGCGCCACAGACAATGGCTTTGAACCACGGCCAATACAGGATTTGTGGGGCAACATAGTCCCCTCCCTTCACCTCCAAGTAGCTTGTCAACCGAAGTTCTCGCAACTATTAGGGTGTCCGGGAAGTTTTGAGAAGATTTTGCCTCCCAAATTTGGAAGCGTGTTGCTCGCAATCGCGCCAAAGAAGGACTGCAGGTACGATAGCACGGAAAAAAGCATTGTCGATAGATCAGTACTGTAGCTGATCGTATTTGACGTGGTCGTTCGAAGTATGTAATCGTCGACCGAACGATGTGCTATCGATACGACTAGTGGAGTCTTCTGTTCTCCGTTACGGAACTGATCGTTTCGACACTCAGGACTGGAATGAGATACAGTCACTGATTGGCAGCAGTGACCCTCTCTTGTCACCTACCATAAATGGCACGGTCACTTCCTCTGAGAAGGGATTTGCTTCGACGAAGTTTGTCGAAGGGAACGTCCACTATCCTAAAATACCGACACCGTTCCGACCTCTCGTCGGAGCGATCATCCTCAAAGTGAGAAAGAATGTAAAAGACGATCTCTACTCTTCAATCCATCATCCACAACATTTTACGCAAAAGTCATTTTTAAAGCAGACTGTTGCAAACATCGCGCATCGTTGACTGAGCAGGAGTGTCGAGTGCGAGTCAGTGTTTTTCAGACGCTCCTCAGTGTAAGCGAACGACGACTTCAACCGACCTCGTCATTGCCCAGGATAAAAAGTATATGAAAGTCCACACAGAAAATTGCAACCACAACCCGCTATAAAGCGAGGCGCTCAGGTAGAGAAAGGGATGTCATTTTTCCTTTGCTCAACCGAGTGTTCTACTATGAGAACCTACCAGCGTGCACTCCGGTAGGCGCAAGAGTATTCTCTTAACAACTGAAACAGATGGTGTTTTGAGCCCCATTTTACACGGATTACAAGGAAATTTTTGATTGTGATGGTTACCGCTCGACCACCCCATGTGGGGACGTCCACGATGAGGTGAAAAGAGTTGGTATAACCTGGCTAGCCCGATCCTCACATGTTCATCTGACCTCAGCCAATATGACTGCCATACTTTCAAAATCCTACAAGACCTGCTCTACAGGAAAAAATTCACCAAATGACGAGAAGTCAAGTAGGTAGTAGATGAATGAATCGCGTCAAGCCTCTCGTCATAATGGAGAAATGGCATCAGTGCCCAGTCCGGTTGATAGGGAGACATTATGGCTTAGAAGGGCCACTATCCTGATAGCTGATCTAAGTTTATTGCTGTAGGTATTGTGTACTGAAAAAACCGACTGAATTTTCTCAAAACTTTTCGGACACCACTACCGGGCTCTGTTCGCAAGTGGACCCAACACGAAGTGCTGCACCTGCATTCGAGTGCCCGCGTTTGGCTCAGCTCACCGGAGAGGTGCGGACAGCACCACCTGTCTGCTTTATAGCCCAAAAGCTTAAAGAAGTTATGCACTATTCTCAGGCTTCGGAATATTTTTTAAGGGCACTTCAACACGATACATTTCTCAGGTTGCTTTTCCGAAAATTACTAAGCCATGCACTAATTCTAAGGTATCCAACATGAAAATAAACTTCCCCCTTCTGAGCTTCCGGAGAATTAACTTTACTCGAGAGAGGTAATCAATTGCACTTTGAGTGAAGTTTTCGGCAAATATTGACAATGAAACTGCTCCACGAATCTCCAAGGTCACTCCCAAGTCACTCAGACTTTCGAGATATTATATAACGGGACCTCCTCCCCATTATCTTAATAATTTTCTTTTGATGTGCCTTTTTTAAATTTTCCCTCTATTCGAATAGGCTTCTGACTTCACATGTTCTTCACCCTTCTCAAACTAGGGAAAGCAGACTGGCTTTGTGAGCAAATTACGTAATTCCCATTCATCAGCCTCATTCGAGCGAGCTTTGAGTTTAATGACTATCCGGCATTCATGCCATAAAAGCTCCCATCGATAGATCGCAGATGCCCTACGAGAACCTACGACAGGTTGCAACTTTTAGTCACAGAGCGTGGATAAGAAATCTTTACAGATGACCCAAAATATGGGGTGAGTATTGGTTGGAGGCACAGTTTACGTGAAATGGTTTTTCGTATTACTGCATAGGATGGATTCGATACCCTTCCTGATACAATATGTGCCAATGTTGGGTCGAGAAACGTCCGGGGTGGAGCACAATAAGGGTCCAGACATTGCATCGTGTGAAAGCCACACCCACCGCGGACGAGTTTCACCGGCGTCGTATGGGCTGCACTATCACAAGGGAAACTCATGTTGAAAGTTCGAACCACTTGTCCAAGTTCAACGCATGTGTCCATGACGACAGTGGAGGGCAGTTTCAAAAGTTTGTACTTGATGTGGCCAGCTCTTTGCACAATTGCACTAATTGAAATCTTGTCTACATACCTCTTCCATGCCACTTCAACTAGAAAATTAAATAGCAAGGTGCTTGGAGTGAAGAAGGTTCCCAAACAGATGCTACAGCACCGAAGTTGTATTCGAATGTCCGCGCGCGGGAAAATAATTTTAACCGCGAAGCCTTTGAATTCGAACGTGCCCATCTCGAAATCGCAGTTGGCTGCGCCGTGCGCGACTAGTGTGCAACTTTATTTCGTCGACTATGAATCGGACGCTTCTCGTACAAAGGTGATCATTTGAATTATTTATGGAATCTCAAAGCATAACCGCCAGCTTTAGATACTAGTCGATTGGGGAAATCGTGGTAATGTGGAATTTTGGGATTATTGATGGAATTTCGAAAACGATGATGGGCTAGGACAGGGTCGGTCAATCGGTACCAGTTTAGTGGGTTGCGCTATTCTTTAATCTCACGATATTACCAAATCTCTGGTACAGATGGTTTGTTTCACAATCCTACGATTTTGCCACTATGAAAATGTCCTGGAAAGAATTAAAGTAATGTGATGTCATCCCGAAATGATCTATTGATTTATTAGAACGGTATATCGATGATCTTCTTGCCTAAGCATGCGTGGGCATATGTTCCCACCGTAGCGTTCGGGCAAATCGACATTATTTTTCAATAAAGTTAGCACAGCTGCTTACTGGATGATGTTTCCACAAGCCATTGCGTCCTATATCCTTTCGTTACCCTTTTGTTGAGCTCTCATTGGAGTCTACTACATCGTCATTTTGCAACGACTTTGTTTTTCGGTATTTCCTCGTTGAATAACGTTTAATTTTTCAGAATGACAGCAAATTCTCCGTCGTCGAAACAGAAACGTTTGGTACCGTATTCACCCGATGGTGGTTGGGGCTGGATGGTCGTTATAGGCACGTTTTTTATTCATGTAGTTGCCGATGGCTTCACCTACTCATTTGGTGTCCTCGTCGATACACTCATGAAAGTTAGTTCTGTTTCTGTGTAGAACCTTTCCGATCTTTCTTTCTTTGCGATTCAGTGTTCAGTAGTAATATTCTCACAACTTTGTAAGGCCAGCGAATCCCACTCGACTGTAGTTTTGAGCAGATTTTCATACCGTATATTCGATTTCCAAGGTCCATGATTGCCGATGCTTCTTATATTTTTGCTGTGGACAATCCAAATAAAAATAGAAACTTAGAAGCCAGTACATATGCTGCTACGTAGCATACCTCTGTTATTCTGGTTGGCTTATCGGCTCCGTTGATCTGTGGTTTTCCTGTCCTTTATTCCAATTCCTTATTGAGGTGTTCTGGATCTTGTTTTTCGAATAGCTTTTATGTACACTCAAAGGCGAGGATATGCATTGGAAGACGGTGTCAAGGCCCTGGTTGTGTCGGAGATCCGAGGTTGGCGATGGTGCTGCGATTTCGCGTCTTTGTTGTATTCCGTCTCCGTCCCTCCGTGTTGCCCTGTACTACAAGTGTAAATAAAACTGTAAATGATACGTAATCGTAATGTAAAATCCTTTTTTATGACCATGCTTGCCTGCCGAAAAATGCATGGGTAACGTAATATCGCTGTAAGAAAATTCCATCTCGAAGCTATCGAACCCTAACTTAACGGATGACCACCAGCTCTTCATCCGGCCTGCATTTTGAAACGGAAGTTTTGTAACGGAAGAAAACTGAAGAAAACCAGCATTTGGTCTTAGATGGTTCTATAACTGTCTGCTCTAAAGTTATTGAATTAGCTTTCAGGAGTTTAACTCAGACAACACCGTAGTTGCGTTGATTATCTCTCTTCTCGCCGGTTTCACACTCGGATCAGGGCCAGTAGCATCGTGGGTGTGCAATATGTATGGTTGTCGAGTGACAGCCATCATTGGCGCAATTATAGCTAGTGCCGGGTAAGTACTTCTGCAGTCGTTGTGACAGAACATTCCGCACGGTACGGCGCTTGAATTAGACATTACCTGGACTGCGTTAATTGTGAGTGATGTGCTATTTTTCTGCATGGTTATCACCGACATAACTTTTCTTTCAGATGTACAGCATCTTACTTTGCCACTGCAATGTGGCACATTATCGTATCCGTGGGAATTATCATTGGCATCGGTTCCGGCTTGATGTATTGTCCAGCGATTGTCTCTGTAACAAAATATTTCGAAAAGTTAGTCAGCTTATTTTTCATGAACGGAGCTCTATTCTTTTGCAACTCGACATTCCTCGTTAGTGTTGCTATGCTTCAACTCGATCTAGCAATGTTTTAACCATNACCGTCTATTAAGAATTATCAAATCATGTGAAGGATCATGAAGATATTTCCGGATCTTGTAATTGCTAAAGAACGCTAGTATAACGGAAATAAACAATGGCCAATCGTTTAGGCGTCGTTCTTTAGCTACTGGAATCTCTATTACTGGAGCTGGAGTCGGTACCATGGTATTTTCACCAATCAATCAGTTTATCATCGAACGATTTGGATGGAGAGCTGTATTCCTTTTATTCACTGGTGAGCACGCGTGAGATTGACTAGATATGACATTATTTGTGCCAGCAATCTATGAAGGATATATTCTGTTCCTAGACTGCAATAGTTCCCTCTTTACTCTTCAAGAAAGGTTCCTCAATCTGTTAGCGACGCAGTGACCACAGACTAGCATTCACTGTGGGCATGACATCAACATTTTGCCATAGCCGTTTTATGCAGGGTCTTGATTTTATTTTAGTTTGTTTTCAGAATCTGTCGCACGATGGTCATGCATAGCCTTCCAAGTAATGTAGAATCACATTGAAAACTAGGAAGAGGATTGTAGCTTTTGCTGGGTTCAGATGTAGGTAGGGCTGCACCCATGTCGGCAGCGAGCGAACGACACAGCTTGATAAAATCCTATTTAAAAGGGTGAAGTTAGAAGAAGCAGATAGCAGGGTCGCAATGGAGAGATGAGGTACAACGCGATGTTTATTTTTTTTTACTAGATCCCAGGTTTCCGTGCCGGATAGCCATAGTGTAAGTCGTGGTATGCTATGTCGAAGCGTCGTTCAGTTGTTGCGGCAGTTGGCTGTTGCGGTGGAGACTCGCTATACTATAGGCTGTACAAACTATACTTATCTCATGTCACTTAAGAGGAAGACGGGTGGGTGCTGCTACCACACAGCCTAGAAAACTTTAGCTGTGAAGGCATATCTAATGATAAAAATCGTTACTGAAATTTCTCCATGGTATGAAGCTGTGATCCCTAAGCATAGCATATTGGACGCTGTCGGGACGAAGAACTGCTTAGGTTGGGCGTAACAGGGGCTCTAAAACCAGCCTAGCCGACGTACAGACACGAAGGCGAGTAATTCTGACGCCGTTGTGGAGCCTGGGACGCATACGTAGGCAGCTTTTTGTGGCCATTTGAACGAAACGGTACACACATATGAGAGCTCGACCGAATCCCCTTCGTGCAACTTTGTCGTCGCATCCTCGTCCAACCCCTAACTTCAACTCTCCTAATACTCTGATTTTTGGTTTTTTCACTTTTACACTGTTCTGGACCATATCTTCCATTCATTATTCGACTAATTTTATATACTCGAAATTTTCGTGAACTGTGCCTTTAAGTGGAGGGGAACCTTTTTCAATAGATTGCTTTGTTAGAATTACAACGACGATTCAAAACTTCATCTTTTTTAGGAGTATTCTTGCTTTGTGTTGCTTGCGGTGCTCTATTCCGCCCATTGCCAGTTCGTGAAGTAAGCGAGGAAGACAACACCCAAGAAACATCGGATGATGTGAATAGATCTCATTGCCTCTCGAAAGTAACCCTTTCACTCATTAAGTTTTGTTTACGCTCCAAGTCTTGAGTTTTAGGAGAGCAGTTCCATGATAAAGTCCGAAGAACAGAACACTAGGGAACTCAGAGAGGATCTTGACAGGTTGGTGACGAAAGCTACATATTGGAGTTTGGTGAAAGGGAATAACGATTTAGGTCGACTGAGTCGTTACGCAGATCTACTATTAGTACTATGTCTCCAGAAATATTGCAAGCCATAAAGGACTCACCTGACGAAGTTTTCGAAGATGCACAAGAAAATACTGACAATAAGGAAGGCTCAAGCATGTGGAAGTTAGTCAAGATTGGCTTTGTTATCGTGTAGACGTTACAGGCTGGCTGCAAGCGTTTGCAGCATTTCATGGAACTAGTTTACTATGACAATATCACCAAGTATTAAATTATCATAGGCTTCTGGAACAGCAACAAAAATGGAATTTCAGGAGGATATCGGAAATGTGGTTGGTGTCCCTTCTTCTTGATCCCATCTTTCTTCTTTTTGCCATCTCAAACTTGCTGTCTTCGGTCGGCTTTAATTCACCACTATATTTTCTACCAAAGCATGCAGAAAGTGGTGTCGGCCTTGATCCCACCAGTGCATCAGCTGTGCTTTCTGCTTATGGTTAGTTTGTTTTGCCAACTTTTGTTTTGTGCAGTTGTCCTTCTTACGTTTTTTAAGGATTAAGTAATAGCATCGGACGTCTTGTGTTTGGTATTGTCTCTGATCACAAATTGCCGCTTCCCTATGGCTGGGGCAATGATAGACCACGGAATAGACTATGGATATACAACATATCACTCTCGGTATTGTATTGTTTTTGTTGAGTCTAATGAGTCGGCTATTTTGTCGATAATTTGGTTATTTTGAAAAGGAGCTACCTAGAAACAGCTTGAATAATCTTCTTCAGATCTGCGGTTTACTCACAGCATTCTGCTTTCTCTACAAAAGTTATATTTCACTAATAATCTACGCATCGTTGCATGGGTTTTTTCTCGCTGCCTACATTTGCCTTGCTAGTGTCATTCTTGTCGATCTACTTGGATTGGATAAGCTCACAAATGCTTTTGGCCTTCTGCTTTTCTGGCAGGTGGGCATCAAGATGTTCGGTTTTGCATCAGAGACGTAAAATTAATATTCAAGGGTGTTGGCACTGTAGGTGGGCCACCGATAGCTGGGCTCCTTGCTGATGTCAGCGATAGTTATGCGTTGTCATTTGCATTCAGCGGCGTGAATTTACTGGTAAATGCTTATTTGTTGTTGTTGAGGTCAATGAATACTGAATGTTTTGTTTAGGTGTCCGGTCTCATGCTATTCTGTATTCCGTTCTTCCTGAAGAAAGAGGAAAATACTCAATGAAAGGCTGAAGCTCTGGAACAGGTGCTACCGATTGGGTTCATCCCACTGGCAAGTCTGGGAAGGTTAGATGGAGGAATTACCGCCTACAGGCCGTTACGTCCAAGGTGCAAATAAATTTCCTCCACTCGTTGGACACGATTAAAAAAAATTTAAGCTTCTTACAAGTGATTTCCGTTCTGTGATTTTTCTATGTGGGCGGAACCTATTTAGCTGAGCTTTATATATGATTGTTTCATATTAATATAGGAGTTATCTCGTACTCGATTCCCTTTTGAAAGTTGAATAGGTGCTTTTTTCAGTTTCTCGTTGTTCCACTTTTGCCTCTTTTACATATTCTATTCTCTGTGATGTTTGTTATTTGGTACTTCTGTTATGCTGTTTTGTATTGTTGCTTAATTAATTGAATTGGTGAATCTGCTAAGTTTTCGGGATTCTTTCTCCGACATGAGCGTGTGATTTTCATCAGGTTGAAAAATGTGGAACTTAGCTAGTGAAAGAGGAATTAAAATGGCAGCGAGGGTGATCACGAATGGATTAGTGACGCAGCAGTTCATGACGACTTAGTATTCGCTCAGCAAGTTGCTCCACATGATTGTTAACGTAGTTGCCAGAAGGCGATTGGAGTATATTTGAACGAAGATATACTTTCACTGATTGTCTAAGAAATGAATAGTTGTGGGTGAGGGAAGGATTCTAATTTTCAATATACTTGTGCCGAGAACAAATAACTCATTGGCTTATGCATACGAATGGGAGTGGTGCAGATGTCAAAGCTGAGAGATTATTGGAGTAGCGGACTCACTATCTGTGGCAACTTAGGTACTCGATTGCTGGGAAAGTGATGCACTGTACTCGAGCAGTTATTGAACTTTCTTCACTTTGCCGATAATATTCAATTCGATGGCAGCAGGCTTTACAAGTTCATTAGTTTCCTGGAACTGTTCAACACGAAAAGCGAGGAAGTCCGCAGACTTGAAAGAGTACTTTGCAATTCCGTGGCAGAATAGTTTTCAGGCAATACATCCCCTTCAAGGGGCACAAATATGGAATAGAACTTTCCGAGCTATGTTTCAAAGGTGGTTCGCGTGGAGGGCCAAGACTGCGAGGGGAGAGAGCCTTAATGGACGGATGCGGTAGCTATCTGTGGTCATGAAACTAATGCACGGTCTGTTTTATCAAGGTAGACATCTTCTCACCGATAGCTGTATTCGGGCGTAACTCTGCCTAATGACCTATTGAATTGCGGCCTCCACCTGTTTGGGACTTGAGGAAAGTTCGAAAAGGATACCAACAAAAGTTGGGGACAATAAGTTGAAAAGATGGCAAGTTTACTTTCAGAAAACCAGAACGGAGTATTGTATTTGAAGTGGAAGGATAGACGCGATTTGTTCACGATTTCTACAAGACATCATTGGTCCATAAGTTCGGCAAACCTCAAATCATCTAAGATGACAACAGGATCATGGGATTCGTCGATAAAAGCATCAAATATTTGCTTGTACTTCATTTGTGAGGAGAACTACTATGTGGTATCTCAAATTTTCTCCCGTCTGATGATACAGACAAAATTGGTAAACTCCTGGAAGCTTCACAATGATGTGATAGAGAAAATACGACCTAACGAATTTGAAATGAGTGGATGAATCGCTTCTGAAAAATGAAAAAGTCCGCGCTAGCAACAAGTCACAGCCTGGAAGATTCGCTTGGACGGAAAACAGAAGTTCATAAAAGATGTATAGGTTGTTACTAACGACTACCTCAGGACTAAGGGTGTGTTTACGTTTCCAGCAATACAAGGCGAGTTACACTGGATGCAAAAGTCATTTTTGCATTGATTGTTTCCAAAAAATGCACAAAACTGTGATTTTCAGAAGGATGGTTGAATTTGTCATTGGTTTGTGGAAATCAAGTGTTTTTTCGTCTCATTTTGTGTACGCTATTATTTAAAGATTGTGAACCCATTAAATACGACAAACTTCTGAAAAAATAATCACAAGTAAAGTTAACCAATGAGAAAAGAGTGGCTACCCGTTGTGCCGTGCTGTCGTTAAAGTTCAATAAGGCACAAGTGCGGGTACAAGTGCCGTCCAAGTCTGAAGTTCTGTCCATAAATTGCCAACCTTGCGTGACTTTCGTAACGCGTAGTGTGGCAAGATAACAGCAGTTAATAAAACATCAAAGCAAATTAAGTTGTATCAAGTCTTCAAGCTTAACGGTTCAGTGCTGATATTGGCTGACCGTCAACAGGTTATACGTGTGTGTGTGTGTGCTGATAAGCTTTCCTACTATATATAATTCGCTAAGTTTGTATGTTGGTTTGTCGGTGTGTTTGTTTGTTTGATTGTGTGTGTATGTATGTGCGTGTTCAAATTTGGTAGGAGGTCAGGCGACAGGATGTCAATACCCATGGCAGGTAGCAGGACCAGACTCCTCTCAAAGGGGAGGGGCGGTGGGCGTGCGTGGTAAAAATTTCGGTCGCAAATCAATAATTCGTGTTTACTTGGACGTAAACGTTGTAATTCGGTAAGAGCACAGGAGGCAGGATGGGAACACTTACGATGGGTGGCAGGACCGGACTCCGCCTACAAGGGGCTGAACGTGCACGATATAGTTTTCTGACCGTAAATTCATAACTTCTGTTTGCGAAGACCTAGAGCGTTGAATTTTGGTAGGAGCACAGGAGGCAGGATGGGGACGCTGATGGCATGTAGCAGGACCAGACTCCGACCACACTGGGCAGGGCGTGTATGATATAGTTTTTCGACCATGAGTTCATAATTCCTACGAGGACCTAGAGCGTTGACATTTGGTGAGAGTACAGAGGGCAGCCCGAGAACGCTCATGGCAGGTAGCAGGGCCAGACTCCGCCCACAGGGGGGAGCGTGCGTTTTGAAAATTTCAGTCGCAAATTAATAACTAGTGTTTACGTGGACGTAAAGCGCTGAAATTCGGTAAGAGCACAGGAGGCAGGATGGGAACATTACGATAAGTGGCAGGCGCCGACTCCACCTACACGGGGCTGAACGTGCACGATATACTTTTCTGACCTTAAGTTCATAACTCCTGTTTACAAGGACCTGGAGCGTTGAATTTTGGTAGGAGCATAGCATATTAGAGCTAGAGCGTTGACATTTTTTTCTCCGCCCACAGGGAGCGGAGAAAAAAAGGTTGGGCGGACTGATAATCCTGTTCCCGTAGACTTAAAGAGTTTGAATTCGGTAAGATTACAGCATTTCGTATCAATAGTGGAAGCTCGGCATTTTGATGAGTGAAGTAGGATATGACGGAATCGTTGGTATCGGTGACAGGAACTTATGACAACTGATAAGGGAAGATAAGGGGCCTAAGAGAGCAGGAGCCACCTACCGAAATTATTTACAATGTAGCTTTGGCTGTTCAGTATGTTTCATTCGATAAGACGGGATGGCAGAGTAGGGTACAAAAGTGAGTGGTAAGCCCAGTGATAGCATTAAATTTGGTCATTTCTTGGTAATGGATTACGATTACCAAGCAACATTTGCGACTCAATGGAGGATCCTCCTTGTTCGATGTCATTTGCGACAGTACTTTACTATATACTATACTACTATTACTTTACAATACAATCCTGGAATACTCAACTAATGATATCCCTGTAAAGAAAAAGGCCCATTGATGAATACATCTGATAATGGCGTTATCATTACTCGAAACATTTGGGAGTACCGCCTAAAGCTTTGGTTGCCTAACAGTTGAATCTTCGTGGGTATTTATTCTTAAAGGCACAGTTCACGATAATTTCGGGTAATCCAGGTTATGATGAAAAATGGGAGACAAGATCAAAAATAGTGCGGTGAAGGTGAAGAAACTGCGTAAATCGTTGTTGCCAAAGTGAAAAAGGCTTCGGAAAACCGTTCAAAAGGGTGCTGGACGAAAAAAAGGCCAGAAAAATGAAGAAGAATGGGGCGTTTAGACGAGCTATACAATGTGTCTCACTGCGTACGTGTGGGTCGTGGTGCGAATACCAGGCAATGGTAAGCAAAAATTCATTCACTCATGAGCATAAATGAGCAAAAAAACTCTAGTAACAGCAGAAGTAGCTCACCATTTTTCAGCCTCTAGGAGTAGGAAATTAAATAAAGGATCGCGGCAGCAGAAAGAATTTAGAGGAAAAAAGAATGGGAGAAAAACATCGCCTTATCACTCGGCCATCAGCTGATTGTGTATGGGTCCTAGAAAGAGTAGTTACAATCTGTATTGTCTTAACACTCGCCCAATGTGACATCGATCGAGGGGAGGGAAAACCAATTAGGGCAGCAGCGGGGCCTCCAATATGCCCTAAGCGCCGGGGTTGTGGGAGCGAGAAGGTCCCTTCTACAAGCCATGGAGGGGCGCTGAGTATTCCCGAAGAAAGAACTCAGTAACCTTTAAATCGTGAACCGTGCCTTTAAGAACGAGATAAAAACATCGAGGCTTCCAATTAAAACCGTAATCACCAGCTTACACTGATTGCAATATGCACTGCCCTGTTAGTCCTGTGTCAGACTTCATGTACAGAAAAATAATATTTGTTTCAAAGAAGGAGAGGAAAGTTAGCCGATTACTACAACTTTGTCGAAGAAAAGAAGCCCGGCGTTAGCCGGGCGAACCGACTAGTGGCATATAAGCCATTAAGAAGGCGAGGGCAAGCGGGTTCGCGGTAGTGTAAGAGATAGAGAACGGTGCCCGGAAAGCACAAGTACGGGTTCGAGTCCCGTCTGAGACTGAAATTCTGTCCATAGATTGCCAATCTTTTGAGACTTTCGAAACGCGTACCGCGAGTTAAAAAACATCAAGTCAAAGCAAGCTCCAACATGTGAAGCTTACAGCTTAAGGGTTCAGTGCCGATATTGGCCGACCGGCTCAACACGTTGTACGTGTGAGTGCTGATAAGCTATCCTACTTTATATAATTCGCTAAGTTTGTCTTTTGGTGTGTCGGTGTGTGTGTCGGTGTGTGCTTGACCGGAAGTTCATAACTCC